AGTACTGCTTATATTGTAAGAATACGTGATCAACTTGATGCATTGCCCAAAACCAAGTAATTATCGTCATTTTCAAATCATTCTGCGTTCATCATTCAAGAATTGTACAAGATGAATGGAAAGCAATTTTTTATACTGGATAACATTTCAAAAATGAAGATGCAGTATAGGAAAATTTATTTTTCATAGAATAAATATAGAGAGATCCCCGAAAGTTTTGGGTTCGATTTCATCAGAGTATATACAGTATTGTATATGAGATCCCTTATTGGGAGTTACTAAAAATTAATTTAAAATTGCAGGAGCTGGATGCAAAGAGAGATTTTAAAAGGTATTGACTTTGGAAAAATTTCCTGAAATTTAATATCTCGAAATTCATTCTGAAACAGGGGCACCTGTTCTTCAGCAGGAGAACAATATTCAAAATTTAGCGCATATTTCAATACTGTCAAGAAAGAATTTTTCAAAAAGAATTTTTAACTTCCCTTCCGAACACACGCAATTTACCACCTATCATTATTAAACTTGGAGTGAGACTTAATGTATTTGAAATTGAGTTAAAGTTCACTGTTATAGTTTTAAAAAATAACGACGGATTCTTTACAAGAATTTCTTATGAAAAGTTAGCATTCAGAATTAAATCTTACGCATACGATCAATAATTAAATACTGTAACTCCTTTCTGTGTTATTTAAAATCTACTGCTCATCTAAAAATGTCTTTCCATCACGAATTCACAATTAAAACTATTGGAATAAAATAAATTTTGAAAATTTCCAATCGCATTCCCAGAATCTTAAGCATCCCGAGAAATATGCTTCATCGCAAAAACAAACACAAATATTGAGCGTTTGACACGAATTATATAATCCACTATCTCAATTAAATGAATAAAATGTCAATATCTTCTTATTATGCAAAGGTACACTTCCTTGTCGAAAAATGTTTTCCCCCCGCCACAAATACGACTTTTCTTCAGTAATGACGATTCCCCGAGTAAAAAGTACAGGCGCAGAACGTGACACTTACTCCGTCGCAGGAAAACGTAGACAGACGCAACTGTCACAGCAACCGCAACGATCGACAGGATGGTGGGTGTCATGATGCGTACGTCGCTGAACGACGGCCCGTCACTGTCGCCCTTTACTGAAGCTTCGCCAGCCACTGCCACTGCGAGGAAAATAATGCGAAACATTATGTGTGTGACGCGAATGTCGAATAAAAAATAAATAAAAAAGGAAGGGCTGTTATGAAAGAGAGAGAAAAAACAAGCTAAGCAACGTTGTGGCACAGCACAGAAGACAGCAGAATATACCTTTTGCGCATCAGATTGATCAAGATTTTCATCACGAGTTGGAAAACATTATTGGTTTTTGGAAGAGTTGAAGTCATGCTAGAATTTTGATTCGAACTTGCTGGACCAGAAATAAAAACCTTCGGGATATATCAACTGTGTGGGAATTCGAGGAACAAATTTTTTTTTATTGCATTTTACAGTACTTGAATGAATAAATGAAAAAAAATCCTAACCCCCTCATCATAAAACCCAAAGCCATTGAAACTCATTCAGGTTACATTTTTTCGTTTGCGTTCTTTTTTTTCACGAATTTCTGGCTCCGGTGTTCTATTTTTTTTGCACCTGATCAGACGGATTTGAGCATGGAATTATTTTTTGTATTCTTAAGGAGGCCACCCATATTCATATCAATCTTCGTATTTGAAAATATACAAACCTCCTAGAATGTTGAGTGTGAAAAATCGGTGCTGAAAGACAGTTTCTCCAGCTTCGGAAACTGCTCTGATGGACAATTCGTAGGCTGTCGCCGGTCGTAAGTCGTCAAGTATAATTGGCGAACGAACGTCCTTTCCGGCTCTTGAAACTGCCAAATTTCAAAAAAGAAAATGCTTTAGGTGAAGTAATTATATTCAAAAAAGGAAAGCATGCATAACTAGATCTAGAGTAACAACGAACGGCATTTCAGTCTATATACCTAAAAACATTAACTACTTGCGATCGTCGCTAGTATTTACGGCTTATTTAGAATTTGCATAGTTCACAGGTTAGTTCTCCCTTTGTATTCAACGTGGGTCAAAAATATTCGACAAAATAAATTGAAAATTATTCCTTTCGGACAAAAGGGGATTCAAACAACATTTGGAATACCTGAGCTATTTTAATTTTTCTTCAATTGATTGATTTCCGCTGTTTTATGTGCATTGAGTTGACCAACTTAGATATTTCGAGGACATTTCCAAAAGCGAAAAGTCTCCGTATTGGGCGAGTGAAATTTCAGAGATTTCCTTTCAAAATGTTGCGCTTACTTTGTTTCGCAGAAGGACGAAAATAAATTGAACAACTTTCGTTTTTCATGTGCATTTTCTGCAATAAGAAATTTGCTGTATTCCGATGACAATTTTTCGTCAATTTTCTCCTTTTTTGCTAGTTTGATAGTCAAGGGAAAATCATTAATATCAGAAGATGACAATGCTCTATGTGAGATATTTTAGAACGTCATNTGAAGTTTTGGTGGCTTCGGTGAACCTATTGACAGAATAATTCAAAGTGGGATTCTCGATTTCACTTTTGGAGGAAAGCGGATATACAGTACCTATTCCGCCCGAAAAGTTTCGAGAAGCTTCGACCGACATCTATCCAACTTTATATTAAACATTACAAAGAGTTATCCCGAATAACATAGATGTCTGTCTTCTGAAAGAATATCAACCGTTGGGAATTGCATCATGTCTGAATAACTGTTTATTAATTGCTGGGAATGATTTATTAATTGATTTTGGAGGAAGCACTTGACATAAGAGGTAAAATTTCAAGAAATTATTTGCATTTCTTCGCGGTTTGCTTACTTCGAACAGTTATGCTGTACGTGATTGCGTCGTTTCCGTGCGAATTTGCGACATTGCAAGTGTACTTTCCGCTGTCTCCTCTCGTGACATCAGATATCACCAAGGAACCATCGTCTTTCGCCACCACCCGATCATTGAAGTTGATCAAAGTGTTGTATTCGTCACCCCAGGTGAGATTCGGATTAGGTAATCCAAATCTTAAGCATTCTAGGAGCAGACTTGAGCCAACTGTTGTCTCCAGATTGGTTCCCCAGGATGCTATTCTTGCTGGTACTGTAATTAAAAACGATCATATTCAAGCTTATTTTAAATCAATAAATCGAGAATCTTCAGAAATTATCCACTCGGATGAGAAGATGCATCGTAATAGTGTTCAAGAAATTACCATCCGGTGATAAATTCATAATTACTGCACTTCTTTGATTACAGTACTATATAATGGAACATTACTCGAATGTAACCGAAAATTACACTCGCAGTATCAGCATAGTTTTTTTGATATACAGTACGTACTTCTTAAGTGAATACGAGTACAGTACTGTATATCAATTTTGATAAATGAACCAATTGAACACTGCGTATTCTGAAACTTTAACTTTTGCCCAGGATCATAATTTATGCGCTTCTCTATACAGCCTTGAATCAAATTTTGAGATCGCACATTTTCACTTCTGTTTCTGATGCCCAGCGACTTTTCGAACATTACGGTATTGAAGTCCACTTTTCCAAATTAAAAGAAGGGTCCAAGAGCAGAAATGATACACAACTTCTTGTAATAGATGCTGCAGAACTTTTTTGGAAAATCGTTTCCATGCTCCATTTAACTTCAAATCTTGTAAATTTATGGAACTTGCGCTGAAGTATGGGGTTGATTAAAATGCTCGTGATATTTTTCAAGCTGGATTTAAGTCTTTTGCAGATCCTTCGATTTATTATGTGTCCTGTTTTGGGATTAAACTATTCAAAACTATGTGAAATATATACGAATTAAGTTTATTACCGATTGAATGCATGGGTTAGACAGGCAATTTCTGTGACCAACGTTGAACATATACGCTGATGATTGACAATTTTTGGTTCTTGCTGTTTCGATTTTTTGTAAGTTCGGGAAGGACAATACATGCTTGAACAATGTATGCTATGTTTATAGAGCGGTAGAAATAAAATTTCGATCAGTGCCTGTATTAAATTGCTTCCTCTCTTTGATACGCGATGTCCGTAGAATACAATATTTGAAATTTTCCACGTTTACGCCAATTTGTGGAGTTACGTCGCAACCCGGAAGCTTCGGAGAAGCGATAAATATTGGACATTAAAATCACAATCTAAACCTATCTATATTCATATAGATTGTGTTTTGCGGATACTTTCAATCGAATGATTCTGTTTTCAATTTAATAGCTGAATTTCGTTTTTAAGCATTCGTACCATTTTGTTCCAAAGTCAAAATGAACGGCGCCGTCTGCTGGCCTTGACCCGCAGACGTGGACGCAGACACGGAGAATTCGTAGACCCAACCCGGAACAGCGTCCTGGAAAGTGGA